AGATGCTTACCTATGGACTGAGTCTCTTGCCTATGGACTGAGTCTCTCTCTCTCTCACTCTCTCTCTCTCTCTCTCTCTCTTTCTCTCTTTCTCTCTCCCCCTCCCTCCCTCCCTCCTTAGGAGAACCAGACAATGTGCTTTAAAACAGGAAGGAAGAATAGCCGTTAGTCATTTGTAGATCTAGGGTGAGTTCTTTGGAGAAGGTGGGGGACAGTATCCTTGTCTCTAAAACATCCCAAATTCTTTAGTTCAATTTGTCTCTGTCATGGATGAGGTAAGGCTGCTAGTTCTTTCACTAAACTAGTGAAAATTAGTTTTCTTCTAACAGGTAGGGAGTCCTGATTGGTCTGTGGAGGGACCTATCAGATAGGTTGATTCGAACCATGAGTCAGTACTTGAGAACAAAGTGTTCTGAAGTGTGTGGGCTTCTAAATTGCTGGAGGTTTGCTGGCCTGAGGCTGAGGTGGGCCTAGAGGTTATTGTAGGAAAAAGAGAAGGAAAAGTCCCCAGAGATTTTCACCTGCTCTGCAGTTCTGCTTAGACAGTGTAGGGAAAGGGGATAGAGACCTGAGAGAATGTGGCATTTCTCTTACATGGGGAAGGGATGGGGCAAATAGCCTTAGGATGTTACATATACTGCACAAAGGCCTTAAGACCAATCACCAGTTCCCATCTGCGGAAAGAAAATCAAAACATCCTCGTCTGCTCACCCTCACCCACTATTAACCTTTCCCTCTAACTACAGAGAGAAGAGAGAGTCATTAGACAGAAATAACCTCCACTTCCTTCCTCACAACTCACTCTCCATTCTGTTCACATTCCCACTGAGTCCTCTCCTGCCTCCTTGGGGACAATATTAGTTATTTATTCTGTGTGCCCCTCCGAGTCTACTTCTTCCTCCTTCTCCCCTTGCTTTTGCCTTGAGAGGCTGACCTCTAGGGAATGCATTGACCTCAGAATACCTTGCTGGTTTCTTCTCCTTGGTTTCATTCAGTGGGAGTCACTGGCATTGACTCAAGGGGAGGAGAAGAGAAATGTTGAGGTATTTATTCTTCCCACTGTCTTCTTGCTTTGTTATTTCTGTGAGGAACTACAGTCATAGCTCCCAAGTTCACTGCACTCTGGCAATATTGTCTTGTTAACCTTCTGCCCTTTTCAGGCCTAGGAATATATGGGGACATAATGGCCTTCTACCGTTGCTAGTGTTTGGGTGCTTTACATCCCTCGTTTATTATTTCCTTAGCTCTGCCCACATTTCTGTAAGTGGTCTCTCCTTTGGAAATATTTGCTGCTGAACTCCTGATTGATACAGACCTTGTTTTCCATTAGTCTGTTTATAGTTTTGACACCCCCTTCACCACAGGTTCTTTAAGATGGTGCTTATTTTGAAAAAGACCCTCTCTCGGCTTTATGTCAATCTCTAACTACATCTTCTTCCTTTATTTTAATTTTTTTTTCTTTATTGATTTTTCAGAGAGAGGAAGTGAGAGGGAGAGAGAGATAGAAATATCGATGAGAGAGAACATTGATTGGCCACCTCCGGCATGCCCCCCACCAGGGATCAGGCCCACAACCTGGGCATGTGTCCTGACCAGGAATCAAACCAGTGACCTCTTGGTGCATGGGTCAACACTCAACTACTTAGCCACACTGGCCAAACTGACCACATCTTTTTACAGATTTCCTCTAACTTTTTTTTTTTTTGGTGATGCTTGAGACAGACTATAGATGGAAGCCTGTGGCCCACCCTGCTTCACTTCCCACCTTGCCTCCATCCTACATCATAAAGAGCTATGTATCCAAGACTATGGACACCTGGTCTATATGTTCAAGATCCATTCACACCCACCCCACTCCAAACAGCCATTCCCTGTCTATGCGTCAGGTTCAGAGATGGGCACACTAGTGACATGGTCTTCCCTTGGAAAGAGAGACCTAGGAAGAGGCTTGCACAGTCTTTGGAAACAGGCTTGGTTCCATTTGGGTAAAGAATTCCAAGGTCTTAAAGAGAGCATATAGACTTTGGGTGAGCATGTCCCCCTAGACCCTTGGACATGGGAGGAACTAGAGAGGAGCCACCCTCTCTAAAGTTCATGGCCCAGGCAAGTTTCCTATTTGTCCAGGTCTAACCATGGTACTTCTTCCACAACCAAACATTTTGAAAGCAACATCTACCTTTGCTTTCTTCAGTTCTTACCATGACCTGTCTAAACCCTCTACCATCACGTTCCACTGAAATGCCTTTTTGTTAATATCACTGATGCTGTCCCTGTTGACATAGTCGATGAACTTCTCTTATCTTACTTGGCCTGCCTGCAGCATTTGTCACTGTGAACTTCTTCCTCCTTCCTGGCTTTATGACTTTCTTTTTCCTTCTCAGACTGCTCTGTCTTGCTCCCTCGTGAACTCTATTTATCCCTTTGACACAGCAGTGTTATTCTGGGTTCTGACTTTGGCTCTTCTCCCAGACAGTTATCTGAATTCTACCTGTTACTGATTCTATCCCTAAGTATGCCCTGCTCTCTCAAACCCCAATGCCTTTGTGCATGCTGGTCTTTAAGTACTCTCTTTACCTGGCTAACTTCCTTTAGTTGAAAAAGATTTGGCTTAAGCCTCACCTCCTCTGTGACCCTTCTCTGACATGTGCTCTGAGGTCTATGTCCCTTGGATATTTTCTCGTAGTACCTAACACTCACCTTTATCATTGCATGTATTACCCTATATTTGGAGTTGCCAGATAAAATATTGGATGCACAGTTACATTTGAATTGCAAACAAACAAATACTGTTTTTAGTGTAACTGTGTCCCAAATATTGCATGGGATATACTTATACTAAAAAATTATTCATTGTTTATTGGAAATTTAAATTTAATTGGATATTCTGTATTTTTATTTGCTAACTCTGGCAACTATCCTATGGAAGTAATTTACATGTTTGTTTCCTGTAGACTATGAACTCCTTGAATGGAGCCACCATGCCCTTTGACTGTGTCCTGATGCCTGGCACCTGGCATGCATTCCGAGAATGTGTGGAGTGATAAATCCTTAAATTCTGGGAGCACTCTCCTGCCTCATCTAAAAGGACCTTTCCTGCTCGAAAGTTCAGTGTATTTGTTCACTGATCTCTCTTCTCGCCTCTTCTAAAGTTTTATCATTATTAGTTCTTCATTTCATGCTGTTTGGTCTCTAGAATGTAACCAGATGGGAAAGCTCCCAGATTTTTATCAAAAGACTGTCTAATCATCATTTGTAATCCCTGGGCCAGTCCTCTTTGCTGAGTTGAATAATTAGGTGGTGATTTTTGTTGTTATTGTTGGCCATTAGTGGATATTACTAGCGAATATGCTAGTAGACTAAATATGTTTAACAGAGAGTCAAGTTCCGTAGCATGGGAGCCAAGCTCAGCTTACCACATATGTATCAACACCTGGTCTCATAGCACTAAATAAAATGAATGTTTAATTCTTACAGTGTAATTAATGCACTGGCATATCCCTACCCAACCCTCACTTAGGTTCTTAGACAGGGATGACGTATATAAATGTACACTAAGAGGAATTGTATGACCCAGCAAGTTAAAAGTCATTGCTCTGAAAATTGGTGCTTGCCAAAGAAAGGGGCTCTAGTAACCTTTAGGCCATAGGTACTAAATCAGCTGCCCTGAGGCAGAAGGCCACCGTGGGATATGGGGCATCAGATTGGCGGAGGGGAAGGTAAGGAAAGCAGGAGGCTCAGAGAAAAGGCAGAGATGTCCATCTTATTATAAAAAAAAAAAAAAAAGTCAAATTGCAAAACTAAAGCCTCAGTGTCTAATTCAGTAGCCACTGGCCACATGGGACTATTCAAGTTCAAATTAGTTAAAAATAAATTTTAAATTATTTGAATAAAAATAAAAATTAAGTTTAAAAATTTAAATAAAACTTAGAATCTAGTTTCTCAGTCACATTAGCCATATTCAAGTGCTCAAATGCCTCCTGACTAGCGGCCACCCTACTGGACAGCACAGACACAGAACACGTCCGTCATCACAGTTCTTCTGCCAAGAAGCTGAGGCCGTTGGCCTGGGGGAGCCTAGAGGGCTGTGACCACCATATTCAAGTATTGGAAGGGCTGCCAAGAGGAAGAAAATCAGTAGCAAGTTTTATGTTACTAAAGGAATCAAAAAGAGGCCAAGTGCATACTTTGCAGCAGCTAGAGAGGTTTAAAAACATAAATCAGATCTTATCACCCCACCCTCTCCTTCACTCAACAAATCCTTATTGAGGTTCTACCATGTACCAACAGGCAATGTGCCAATTCTGGGAGCACTGGGATCAACAAGATGGACAGTTTGTGCCATCCTGGATTTCCCCACTGCATTTAAATAAAGAAGGAACAGACCCCTGCCAGCCCTCGACCCTTCTACAAAATTCCTGCCTCCCCAGTCTCTTCTCTCCTCCTCTGAGATGCCAGGCTCTTTCTTACTGTGGTATATACTTTTCTCACATATATATGTGTGTGTTTATATGTGTGTGTGTGTGTGTGTGTGTGTATCATTGCTGCTTACTAGCTGTGTGACCTTGGGCTGAACTACTTAATTTTTCTGTTCCTTAGTTTTCTCAACTTCCTAGTCTTAAATTGTTATAATAATATGCTAAAAAAACCTGTGAAAAATATATATTGCTTAGAACAGTGACTGGATTAATTGATTAATTTATTTATTTTTAAAGAATAGTTGCTTTCAGAGAGAGAGAAAGGGAGAAGAGAGAAACATTGATGTGAGAGCATAACATTGATCAAGCCCCAAACTCAGGCATGTGCTCTGACCTGGAATTGAACCAACAACCTTTCAGTGCATGAGATGGTGTCCAACCAAATGAGCCACACTGGCCAGGGCCAGTGACTGGATGAATTTAGATACAGAGGAAATTTAATGCGTTTTCCCTTCAAAAAACTAAATATCTTAGTCCTATACAGGCATGCCTCATTTTATTGTGCTTTGCTTTATTGTATTTCATAGGTGTTGCATTTTCTACAAATCGAATGCAAGACATGCCACCAGCAGAGATTTATTGCGATACTCGCTTTATTATGGTGATCTGGAACCAAACCTGCAATACCTCTGAGGTAATCCTGTACTCAATTTCCTCTTAGATGCCAGCAAAGGACATGTAAACCAATAATAACAACAATGATAGTGATAGTTAGCTTTATTGAGAACTTACTATATGCCTGGTACTGTGTTAAATATTTTCCATGCATTATTTTAAAAAGCCTAATTGGTTAGATACTATTATTATCTCCACTTATCTTCAGAAGACAGAGGAATTCAAAGGCATTTAACAATGTAACTATGTTGGCTTTGCATTGAGTCAGTCTTGCTCGGCTGAAGTCCAGTTTTCAGAATTCTCTTCCCAACACGATTCCAGTGAGGGTGGGTACAGAAGGGTCTTGAGAGTTTTGGAGGATGGGAGGAAAGCAGGGGTCATTTTGTGGTTAATGAGCTGGCTCACTCACTGGTGTGAGGCAGCAGCTGGGCAGCAGATGCTCCACTGTCCCCAGCTCTGACTCCTGGGCCAGGTTTGTGGGCTTACCTCCCCGAAGCGGGAGGACATCTACAACAACAAGGTCAGAGGCCGCGGGACTGCCACGGATTTCAGTCTGTTCTAGTGGGCTTCCAGACTGTTTGTGGGTTCCAGCCTGCTCTTGATACATATAGCAGGTTATCAAAAAATGTTTCATTATAATACTGATGAGATGCCCTAGGAATTTAACTTTTGTTTATATCAATTAGCCTATGGTTAAATAGGTTTCATTTTATGTCATTTTGCTTGAAGTTGCAGAACTTATCAATGATGTTAAGTGAGGACTTACAGCATATGATATATATGTAATGTATATATATGATATATATACACAGGGTGGGGCAGAAGTAGGTTTACAATTGTGAGTATGTGAAACAGGGTTTATTCTTGTACTGTTATTAATTAATGATTGCATTATTTTCCATATGAACAACCTATGGTCACAACCACTATTCTATACTGACTCAGAACCATTCTCTGAAGAAGGTCTTGGGATTTCATAAGTTGCCAAGACTAGTCTGTGTTTTAAATCCCATGTCTTGAAGCACTACAGGAAACAGGAGGTCATTATCGTCAAAGGCCAAACTGATACCCAGAGCACACCTAGCAAGTGATCAAGTTTTCCTTGGTTTATAAAAATCATATGTTCTACTTCCACTACTACTACTAATGATGGCATGAGCTCGTGTTTAGCATTTATACAATTTCAGGTGCTGTTCGAAATAATTATGTACCTACTCATTGAATCTTCACAATAATCTTAAAAGGTAGAAGCAGCATTTCTAACATTCACTTTATTTGTAGACATAGGTATTAGATTTTTAAAAAGTTAACTTCGTGAGGGCAAGGGACCCAGAGTTAGGGGAGACCTTTGTTCCCGGCTCGGACAAAAGGGAGGTACATATATTTAAATTTGATACAAACTGCAGGTCTATGCTGGCTCAGTTTTAGAGAGCATATATCTAAAGTGCTTAGCATACATCTGTCAGTCAGAATGCTTTTGACTGATCCAAAATTAAATTACAAAGAAAAGTTATTACTTTATAGAACAAGAATTCCAGAAGCAAGATAGGTCCAAAGTTCATTAATTCATTTTCTCATTGATATCATTAAAAACCAGGCTCTTTCCATCACTCTGCCCAGCCAGCCTTCAAATGTTGACTTGTGTCCTCTTGACCGGTTCTCTCAAGGTCTCTGGTGGCTGCCCTAGCTCCAGGCATCATGCACAGCTGACGACATCCAGCAGAGGGACAGTCAGTTTATTGTTTTCTGTCTCCTTTTTTCAGCATAAAGAAGTCTTTTCCAGAATCCTACGTGGAGGATGTCTACCTGTCTCATTGATCAGAATAGTGCCAGTTACTCATGTCTAAGTCAGTCACTGGCAAGGAAAATGGAGTCACCATTTTTTAATGAAATGGATCAAAAGTCACCTTCCTGTAGCTAAGAAGGACCTAGCTTCCGGGAAATGTATGGTGTTAGATTTCTGGACAAAGAAGATACCTATTAGCAAAGGAAAAGTAGTGTGGCTTCAGGTAAGCACCAAACAATGTCGGTTACTACATGTGCATGACCCAAAGCTAGACCCATAAATGAGCCCTAGTCACTGCCCTTTACCACTGTGTCTCATCCTGACTTTTTGCACCTTTTAATGACTCAACAGATCCTGCTAAGGCTCGCCACTGCCCATTCTTCTCTTCTTTATGGACGTAGAGACGACATTTCCTAGCTTGCCTCACAATCAGATGGAGCCATGGGCTCTGTTCTGGGCAGTGGAATGTGGGCAGAAGTGATGTATGTCACTGCCAGGCTTGGTATATAAAATTTTTCATGTGCAACCCTTTTTTGTCCCATCCATTGGGACACAGAGGCCACATGTTGGGGTGACAGAGGTACAACATGCAATGAATCTGGATCTCCGAGTCATGGCTTAGAGGAGAGTCAACCATATTGTATTGGACTGTGACATAGGCAAGAAATGAGTTTGTATTATAAGATTTGGGGGTCATCAGGGAATGAATCCTACCTTGACCAATCCCACCCAAATCATCCTCCTTGTTCCTTGTGTTTTGGGCATGTGGGAAGCAGATCTGGTGTGCAGGTCTCAGGTTGCCAAGGTGGTTGTCCAAACAGGCACTGATTTGGGGATCTTCTCCATAAAATCCTTTTCATGGTCACCTTACTTAAGCACTTCCAGTGACAGGGGACTCACTAGTTCTAGCAAGAGATAACCTCTACTTGGTAAGAGATAACATATGGACTAAAGATGGCAAGCAGACCAGTTCATATTGCCAAGCCTTAATGATTGGTAGTTGCATCTAAAGTACTATGTAGAGAAGGGTTCTCAGAGCAGCTTTGGATGGTGTGGGAAAATTTTCTGCTATTAATCAATAATGCCTTCCAGGGCTCTGGAGGCAGGAGAGGTAGACCCATGCCCCCATATAGCATCAGTGGTTTGGGAACTAGGAGCAGTGGAAAGACAGCCTATAGGAAGGAGGTTTGCCATTAAGCTACAGTACTCGGGACTGCATCTTGGGGTACTTCTTATAGGGGTGATAATATAGTGGCAACAATAATGATGGCTTCCTTTCAGTGAGCACTGTGCTAGTGCATATATAGAGACACATTTTACAGACAAAGAAATTGAGGCCCGTAAAGTGGCTTGCAGAGTGGTCTGGCCTGAAGTCCATGTTCCAGCCTATTGGATTGAGAAGGAGACTGACTATAGCAAGGTTTCTTAATTTCAAGGTTTTTTTTTGGGGGGGGTGGTGGCTATATGTTACATTTTAGGATGTTTAGCAACATTGCTGGCCTCTATCCATTAAATGACAGTAGCATACTTACCCCTCCCCCTGTCATGACAACTAAAAATGTCTCCAGATACTGTCAAATGCCCCCATGGGGGTCCAAATTCCTTCAGGTTGAGGACCACTGAATTAGAGCAGCGATTTTCAACCAGTGTACTGCAAGAATTTATAAAACATGCATTATCTGACTATTTAGTCAGGGGCACTGACCTCTTTCCCCATAGATTGCTAAATTTAAAAATGACAACAGCCAACACGACAATAGCCAGTCCACGTGAATGAATCAAAATTATACCTATTCTTTTTGTCAGATCAGCAAAAAATATAATGTATTTTTTCGTGTGCTGCAGAATTTTAGTGATTAGTTTATGTGTGCCATGAGATGAAAAAGGTTGAAAATCGTTGAGTTGGAGTAAAAAAAGGGCCCATGTTTGAAGTAATTCTGGTTCTGGGCGGGCAGGTGAAGGGACTAAAAAAACAAGACAAAAGGTCTATATGGTAACGTAGGGGGCAAGAGGTCAATCAGGGTGGCCTGGGAGCCTTTGTCACCCGGAAAAAAGCAGCAACAATGAGAGTGACGAGAGACTGTGTCTCCAGGCTCATGAATTTCGTTTCCTATATGTTTCCTGTGAAGGGGCAGGACCAGTAGAGCTGAGCTTGCGGGAGAAGATGCCTGTGGGTAAAGGAAGGATGTGGAGAGGGGATTTGAACCTTGTGGATCATCCTGAACGCCACTGAGAGCCTGTCACTGCAGACACCTAGCAGTCGGTGGCTACTGAATGAATATTTGTTGAATGAACGGTGAACAACCAGGCCAAGCGAAAGGAATAAAGCAGTTGCACTTATTTATTTATTTAATCCTCACCCGAGGACATTTTTCCATTTTTTGCACAGATAGAGTGGGAGGGAGAGAGAGGAAGAAAGAGAGAGAGAGGGGAACATCGATGTGAAAGGGACACATCGAGTGGCTGCCACCCACACGACCAACCAGGGCCGGGGACAAACTGCAACCGAGGTACATACCCTTAGCGGGAACCGAACCCGGGTCTCTCTGGACCGCAGGCGGATGCTCTAACCGCTGAGCAAAACTGGCCAGGGCTGCACTTATTTTTGAATAAAAATATGGTATAAAATCATTCCTGAAGTACTGGCCAGGTAGCTCAGTTGGTTGGAGCGTCGCCCCAATACACTAAGGTTGCAGGTTTGATCTCTGGTCAGGGCACATACAAGAAGCAACCAATGAATGCATAAATAAGTGGAACAACAAATCAATGTTTCTCTCTCTCACTCTCTCCCCCCCTTCTCTCTAAAATCAGTGAATAAAAAATTTTAAATATATATATATTCCCGAATAGCCACTAAACCTGCACTTGGCAAACACTAAGCAGCAAATTGTGTACATTTGGGCAAAGGCACCAAAGTTGGGGTGAAAGGAAGAGAATGTCACTTTTAGTGAAAATTAATTACCAAAATCCAACATGTTCGCCTCTTCTACTTTTAAATGGAAGTTAACTTTATATGAAAACAGAGATGTTCTCCTCTGACATGACAGAAAGCAAATTGTTTCAAAAAAAGATGAATGGGCCCTGGCCAGTTTGGTTCAGTGGTTAGAGCGTCAGCCTGCAGACCAAAGAGTCCTGGGTTCAATTCTGGTCAAGGGCACATGTCTCGGTTGCAGTTCATTCCCCAGCCTTGGTCATGGTCATGTGGCAACCAATCAATGTGTCTCTCTCACATCAATGTTTTTTTTTTCTCTCTCTCCCGCCCCCTCCCTCATTCCTTCCCTCCCACTCTGTCTGAAGATAAAAATATCCTCGAGTGAGGATTTAAAAAAATATGTATGAATGATATTTGGCAAGACCATAACTTTCCTCATAGGTAGCTGAGTGTTCGTGTGTTTCAATTCTTACTACTTATTTTGCTTTCTCTTATTTCTCATGAGTGAATAGTTTCTTAATATACCTAGTGAGAATATGATCCAAAGGGTTTCTCAAATTCAGAGGAACTGTGGTTACGGAAGGTCTTTCTGCCTTCCTCCATTCAGAAAGACAAGCCTTGCCGACAAGGTCCCTGTCCTCTATTTCATACAGTGCTGAACGGAGGCGCAGAAATATGTAAACTAATTAACTACAAGGCTGCCAAACATACCAGCAGCCCCAGTTCATGATCACGTGTAACTTCTGCCCCTCTAGAAAAACCAGCACTGTGATGCCTCGGGGTGGCTTCTGACAAATAAAGCCTGCTTTGTTTTCCTTCTCCCTCGTTTCCACTTTCAACAGTGAGTAGTTCCCAAATCCATATTTTCTCTGCCACCGTTCAAGATATCTTGCTATCAATTATGTGCCATAAATGGCATAAAGCATGAAGGGAGTGGGTCTGCTGTGGTCCCTGCTATTCACATGGTGCCTGTTAATCTAATTACCAAGGTGGAGCCTCCAGACACATAGAAAAGCTTCCCTCCACCTGGTGGATTGTTTGGCCAAGCTTTATAAATGGGCCAGGCTTGGGGGTGGGGTGAGACAGGGGAGAAACAAACTTTTTTAAAAAGTTTCTATGCAGAGCCACGGAAAGAATGTAGTGGTTGTCAACACGAGTTTAGGACAAAGGTAGGGTTTAAAATGTTGGTTCGTTTAGATGGAGCTTCAGGTCACGTAAGCCCAGGGAACCTGCACTGCTATTTGTTTTCTGTGTGTTTTAAAAAGAGTTCATGAGATGTAAGGGAGGGAGCCCAGCGAAGGGGATGGGGGAGCGTCCCAAGGGGATGACGTCTCTTAAAGCCTGGATGCTTCAGGGGTGTGATTTCCAGGGGCGCTTAGTGACTGATTGTGTGAAAGGGCAGCTTGCATGAACAGCCCCAGCCAGGCCTGATTTTGAACTGTTTTTCAGTCCTTGATTCCTACAAACAAAATAAAATACCTTGTCGAATAGAGCCCATTGAGTGAGGATGATGGGTTAAGAGTGGGGGTACGAGGTGGCGGCGTGGGTGCTTGTTTATCAAGGAGGAGTTGTCTGTTGTTCTGGGAGCCAGTGAAAGGAAAGACGCCAGAGTCTGATGGCTGGGGTGGCATTGATGTGCGGTAACGGGGTAATCGGATTGAAAGGGAGCCATAGTATTTATGTCAGTTCACATTTCGTCAAAGGAATAATATGAGGTGCTACCTAGCTGAGGCTTTGGCCTAGGGGTTCAGTCAGCAAGCATCCAGGCCTCATTGGACTCAACATAAATTAATTCTCACAGGAGCATTGCCTGATTAATCTATTTGCATAATAGTAGGAAAACTGTAGAGTGGTTACTTTTTTTTTTTTTCCTTCTTCTGTAGGGATTTGGACAAGAAAAGATTTAAATTTACTTGAAAGAAGAGTGTGTGAGAAGTCAGAGCAGCAAAAGCCCCCTCTGGGACTCCCAGAGCTGTGTTCTGGAGTGAGGAGGATCGGGGTTGAGCTGAGGCCTGTTGAACTCCTCCCAGCAGCAACCACCTTCTTCCGAGGCCATTTGCTGGTGTTTGCTGTAGGGAGCTTAGCTCCGGGCCCAGATGGTGGTATCGGGTTCAGAGGGGGAACAGGCAGTCTGCCCCTAGTGAAATAACCCCCTTGGTTCAGGTTCTGGTCAAAGGACATCGTAGTTTCAGAAAATAAATAGGTTCAGTTCTGATTTACTCAGGTTCACTGGTGTTTCTGAAAAGAATTTCAGGTCTATTTGCCATTCCATAGAGAAACAAAGTAATTGG